TTTATTTTTGGTCTTTTTGAGACCGGGTCTTGCTATGCAGTTCAGGCTGGCCTTGAACCACTTTGTAGCCCAGGCTGGGCTCAAACTCACAACAATCCTCCTGCCTTAGCCTCCTGAGTGCTGGGATTACAAGTGTGTGCCACCATGCCTGGCTGTCTCAGTCTTGCTATTATTGGTGTCCCTCTACAATGTCTCAGCAGCTCCCATCAGTTCTATCTGTACCCACTTACAAACTCATAGTATGATTGTAGCCATTCGGGTGAATCTTAAATCTCTTTGGATGTGGTCATGGTGGTGCGTGCATGACTGTAATCCCAGCACTCAGAATCCTCTGCTGAGGAGGAGGATCACCACAATTTCAACGCCTGTCTGTGCTACATAGGAAGACTCTGTCTCAAAAAACAAGCAGACCATCTTCTTTGACCTTCCAAAGGAAAATAATGCAAAAAATAAAAATAATAATAATTGGTCACTGGCAGGAAAAACTCAACTATAGCAATATAATAATTTAGTTAAATTCAAACAGGGTTGATCCAATTGTGGTTTAGGATACCCATCCCCCACACCCCTACCCCACACCCTTGTAACATAAGTAGATATGCTAACCCTAGCAATCCGGAACACTGAGTTGGCTTTAGTTTTTTTCGTCATACTAGGGTAGCTGGAGATGGAGGATGTGAGGACTGGAAGTCGCTTAACCAACACCCTGCTGCCACTCCTGAGCGCTCTGGGCCACACTAGGTCATGAAGGGGCCAGTACCTGAGTGATGAGAGCTCCTGAGGTTTAGTAACATTCCGAGCAGTACTGTTGAGGACTCTCATTATGTCAGTGTAGCCTGAGATCACCTTTTAATGATCAGAGTCCTCACCAAATCCTGGTATGTCCCTGCCCATTAGTATGGGGTTGGTCTCACCTCCATTAAGAGAGGTTATCGGGACAGAGGTATGGCTCATCAGTAGAGCACTTGCCAAGCAGGCATGAGAGGCCTTGAGTTCCCCTCCCCAAAAAGGGAGAGAAACTGCCTTTGTGCCCCTTTCCTACCATTATTCCAGTGACAAGTCAAAGTTTACTTCTCATTCGTAGAAGCAAAGGTCTGAGGTTGACCCCACTTATAGTCACAATCACAGTTGTTGCAGTCTGTCCTCCCCTCCTCTGGTGCTGCCCTGTGGAGGGAGGGAGCAGTCTGAGCTGGGCCTGCTTCAGATTCTCTGCTTCTTTTCTGCCTGTAGGGCTGATGAACACTACCTCTGGTCAGTGACCAGCACCTTGAGGCTGCTGTGTAGCGTTCCACTAAAGCTCCACAAGAGCAATATGGAAAGTGATTGAAAGGTTCTGCCCTCTTGACTTGTTCTCTAGACTTCTCTCAGTCAAGGTCTACCTGCTGTTGGGGACTGTGTGACAGGAATAGTGCTCTCAAAACAGCACAGTTGTTGGGGCCAGGGCAACAACTTAGTGGAATAAGTGCTTGCTTGGCAAGTATAAGGTCCTGAATTAAATCCCTGGTAGTGCAAAACAAAACAAAACAAAATAAGGGCCAGCCAAATAGCTCAGTGGATTAAAGCATCTGCAAGCAGGCACAGGGGCCAGGGATGCAGGGGCTGGGGATTTGATCCCCGGGCCTGCTGTGCAGCCCCACCCCTGGGGTGCGCTGAGATGGCAATTGAGACTGGGCGTGGTGGCACATGCCTGTAATCCCAGCTCTTGGGAGACTAAATAGGCGGATCACTATGAGTTTGATCTAGTAGTGAGACCCTGAACACCCTGTAGACCCTTCTCTAAAATATCAAAACAAAACAAAACAGCACAGTTGTCTTTTGGTCCTTAGTTGTGTTCCTTGGTTCTCAAAGCTGGAGGATGAGGAGCTGTTTGCTTTCCTATGATTTGATGTTTGTGTGCGGGACTCCTCACGTTCTCAAGTGTGTGGTGTTTTACACCATCCAATGGCACTGAGGTTCCTGGTGAAACGGATGCTAGAGTAAACCAAACTTCTAATAGGAGCCTTGCCCTTTGGTCCTGGAATCCAGTATTTGCCACTGATGTCCTTTCCCTGTGTGCTACTTATTAGGCTGGTATTCGGCTGTTTAATTTTTATTTTTTAAAAAACATTTGTTTGTTTGGTACAGGGTCTCTCACTATGCAGCTTGGACTCATAGTGATCCTCCTGTTTCAGCTTCTCCAATTCTGGGATTACAGTCCTGCACCACCATGCCTGCACAGCATGTAGTACTGGGGATTGAACCCAGGTCCTTGAGCTTGCCAGGCAGGTGCTAAGACCACCAAGCTATTTCCCCAGCCCTTATTTTATTTTTTAAGTTGTTAAAGTTTTTTATTTTTTAATGATACTGGGGCGCTGGGGAGATGGCTCACTAGAATAAGCGCTTCCCTGGTAAGCTCAAGGGCCTGAGTTCAATCCTCGGTTCTGCCAAAAAAAAAATGATACTGGGATTAAACTCAGGACCTTGTGCCTGCCAGGTAAGCCCTTATGCCACTGAGCTATCTCCCTAGGCAAGCCCTTGATTTTATTTATTTATTTTTTTTGTGGAACTGGGGATTGAACTCAGGCCCTTGCGCTTGCCAGGGAAGCACTTATTCCACTGAGCCATCTCCCCAGCCCCTAAGCCCTTGATTTTAATTAACCAGTTGCTATTTTCACTTGGAGAGTGGTGAAACAGTTTCTCACTAGTCTTTGATGTTGGGGGAGTTTGGGTTTTTTCTTTCAGTTTGAAGTATGGTCTTCCTCCCTTGGCCTCCCAAATTCTGGGATTACAATTATGTGCCTGTACGCCTGGCTCTCAGATTTATATGTGTATGAGACAGGGTCTCACTATACACAGTTCAGGCTGGCCTTAAGCTCACTTTGTAGCCCAGGCTGGTCTCATACTTGCAACGATCCTCATGCTTCTGCCTCCGAAGTATTACAGAATCTTTTTTTGTTTCAAGATACCATGTTTCATAGAGAGAATAAGTGATTTTTTTAATTGGTCCTTTCAGACTCATGGCTGAATGTCTGGATTTCGGGCAGTGGGAGTGTCTTTCCTTCATGAATTTTACATCCCCAAGACCCTCTGGAGATAAACTGAAAAGTGCTCTTGCATTAGAATAATAGCGACAGTCCACCTGCTGACTGTAACTCATGCTCTTTGGTTCTAGTACTTCCTGACTTTATGATGTGGGCAAATCTTCTTTGAGCTTCAATTTTCTCATCTTAAAACATAAATCATAACAATAGCCTCCTTGTGCTATGAGAATCAATTAAAAAAATGTACTTAAAATCATTTGGTATATTTTAAAACAGCAAATAGCATTTTTATAGGCCAATATTTACTTAAAGACATTTTGGCTATTTGTAGAGTACTACTTTGACTCTTCATTTTAATTTTCCTTACTATAGGTTTGTTTTTTGTTTTTTTTTGCGGAACCAGGGATTGAACTCAGGCCCTTACGCTTGCCAGGGAAGCGCTTATTCCACTGAGCCATCTCCCTGGCGCCCCCTCCTTAATATAGGTTTCTGTTGTAAACTAATAGTTTAAAAAGTTTGAAAAGAGTTGAGCATGGCTGCACATGCCTGTACTCCGAAGAGTCAGGAGGCTGAGGCAGGAGGATGGCGGTAAGTTCGAGGCCAGCCTGGGCTACATCACAAGTTAAGGATAGCCTTAATTTCCTAGCGAGACCTTGTCTAAAAAGAAAAATAAAAATCTCTACCATCACCTCAAGACACAAAAACCTCGAAAAGATAAGTCTTTAAGAAGGAAAGAAGAGAAACACAAACATCCCTATATTAGGCCACACAAATGCCAAGACCAGATAGCACCCCATGAAGGCAGTGACCATTGAACTACAGTGTTTGGCTTTTGATGATTGCTAATTGTGTTTGCAAAGAAGTGGACTTTACCTGTGGGGTGTGTGTAGAAAGAGATACAGATGTATAATTAAAATCAAGACTTTTATCTGAGTGGCTAATTATTTGAGGCTAACACCCCTTCTCCCATTTTTATTTGTATATTTTGGTGGTGGTGCTGGGTATTGAAACCAGGGCCTTGTGCGTGCAAGGCAAGAACTCTTACCACTGAGCCACATGCCCAGCCCCTCCCATTTTTTTTTTTTTTCTTTACTTGGTAAATAAACATTTCTGTAAAAAAAGCCTAATAGAGTGTGCTAAGATAGGTTTTAGAGTTTTATCCCCGCAAGTCTCTATGAGGTCAACACAGTGTGCACAGTATAGGTAGGTGGAAAATTAGAAATTTGAAAAAATTGAAGCTGCCAAGCACTGTCATCCATTAGACAATTGAAGTTAAAAATAGATGTGTTCATGCCTCAGCAGATGGATTCATACCCAGATGACTGGATTCAGAATTCAGCCACATATGACAGTTTGTGGAGTGCAGATTAACCAGCACAGACTTACTTAAAATTCATAATAGCATCAAAACCTTCTATGGCATAATACTAATATCCAGTGATCAAGTAAAATATTTTGAATGCCCATGTGTAAATAATTTAGAATGTGTATATTGGGTTAATTTTAATAATGGGAGGATATTTATAAATTCATAAATGTATTCATATTTTTATGTTGATGCTCATAGATTAGGAGGCTATATTTTTGTTTCTTTTAATTATAAGTTAGTATTTTGGAAAGAATGCCATGAAAATAAAACACATACTGTTTAATTAGAAAATCTTGGGCCAGGGAGATGGCTCAGTGGAATAAGCACTTCCCTGGCAAGCACAAGGGTCTGAGTTCAATCCCCGGTTCCGCAAAAAAAAAAAAGAAAAAAAGAAAAAATCTTTTTGGGGGCATGTCAGATTCACATCAGCATTTGACTCTGACAGACATGGTAAATGGAACCATTGGATTTTTTATTTCTTGATTTTTTTTTATTCATGGATTTTTTTTTATTTCTATAATATAGATTATAGATCTGTGCAGCTAGAACAGTGCCTTGGCAGCAAATTAAGTCACTTTATCAAAATAGTAATTTTAGTATAATTATCTAGTTGGAAGTATTCCTAAAGACTGGAGCCTTGTACTGACCATCTAATTTGTCATTTATTTTTTAGCCAAAGCCTTTTTTGTATGGAGTGTGTGTGGGTGGTAAGAGGATGGAGATAGTGTTTACTAGATTTTTAAAAAGGTAATAATTGTGGGTGGCCATCTTCCCGTTAGGAGGTTAAAGCCATGTTGGCCCCTCCTGCCTATAGATGATACTGTCTCCTGTTGTTACAGGTCCTGTTGGACATGTGACCAGATCTGTTTTCCTCAGTGCTGTGAAGCTGGTTGTCTCCCACAGTTTCCTTGCCTGTTTTGTTTCTATGGTAACCCTGTGCTCACTGTCCTTACAGAGAAACCCTAAAGCAGGCGGCAGCTCAGAAGTCGCAGCAGCTTTCGGCATTGCAGGAAGAGAACGTCAAACTTGCTGAGGAGCTAGGGAGAAGCAGGGACGAAGTCACAAGTCATCAAAAGGTCAGTGGGCCTTGGGGGGGGGGCCCTAGATCTGCCTGCTGATGTCTGCTGCTGTTTTGTGCACCTGGAAGCAACTCGGAGAGCTCAGCATGGTTCAGTCATTTCAAATGAGATTGCAGGTCATCTATATTGTGTTTAAACATGCTTTGTTTTTAAGCATGCTATTGGAAGATTTAAAGCAGGAGTGAATAGATGAGTCCATTAAAAAACAAACAAACACTGAATCTTGCAAGTGGGGAAAAAAGTCTGTACTGGTGATCTTATAGCAATGCATTTAATGGAAAAGGACAATGTTTCCTTACTATTTGGATTTCAGTTGTTTTTCATTGAGTATCTTTTTTTTTCCTCTTATTGAAACTGGCTTTAAGGAAATCGATTCTATACTATCAGTTTGTGACAGTTCACAGTTGATTTTAAATAGAACTCTGTTTTTCTTTAAATTCAAAAAATGTTTAAGCATTTCCTAGTGGAACCATAAATATATGGTATGTGCACTCATCTGCATTGGAATAAGTGGAATGTGGGTTATAACTGGAGGGCACTACAACCCATTTGCTTCTATATTTAAGTTACAGAGGCTTCTGCAGAAATTGGTTAAACATGGGACATTAATACAGGATACTATAGTCTGCTTTGTGTTCCTAACACTGAAGTGGTAAATCCGTAGTCATATCTGACCCAGAGCAGCAGCTTGAAATGGTGTTTTTCATTCATTCCCGTTGTATACTACCATGGGAACAGTGATTTTCCCATGGTACTGTTCCTCGCAAATGTTAATTATCACCTAGAATGGAGTTTGGGGTCATTAGATTGATTATTTACTGACACGGTGCAGTTTGCAGTGAAAACACTTTTTTGGAGAGTTGATCTCAGACTTTAAAATATTTGTTACAGCCCGCCAGTTTTCTCATTTCATGAGAGAAGTGCCACATCTCTCTAGACTGCACAATGGTGGTAGTACTGTTGCTGATAGTAGCTAATGTATGGTTCCCTGTTTGGAGGTACAATTAAGTGACAGCTATCATCTCAATACCTACCACAATTCTATTAATCTATTATTATCCTCATTGTAAAAGAAAAAGTAGAACCACAAAGAAGATAGTCATTTGGCCAGCATCCCCTGGCAAGTAGAGTCAGAGTTGTTTGCTATCTTCTGACTTGGACTGGAAAAGAATCAACACTTGTTAATTTATGTAGGGTCACTGCATTCATCTTTGATCAGTGTCTTAGTTACTTTCCTCCCATTTGTTGAGATGAAATACCCATCACCCAAGATTAAAGAAAGAAAGATTTATTTAGGTCACAGTTTGTAGAGGTTTCAGTCTTTAGTCAGCTGGCTCCAAGGCAGGGTGATAGGGCAGAAGGGGATTGTAGGGAAGAGCTGGTCATGGCAAGCAGAATACAGCAAAAGCAAGCTAGGGAGAAGACAAGCCTCTCTCAGTCCTTATTTCCAGGCTACCAGGATATTCAGTGCCAAACCAACCAGTGTGGTGAGGTAGTAGTCACACCCTTAATGCCAGCTCACTCACTGTATTCAGCCTCCTCTAAAAAAGTCCCCACCTCTGACCACATGAGGCTTTAGGGGGACATCTGGACATAAGCCATAATAACTGGCTTGGGAGTAAATAGAGTTCATGGGAAACGGAAGATTTTTTGACCTGAAAAGGTTCTTTTTTTCCTGGCATGAGCTGGAGCTGTAAACATGTGGCATCCCCAAACTCAGTGTGTCCACTAGGGCTTGGAATGCATGGATTTCAGCCAAGTGCTGAATCTGTTCCCTTCCTGTTTTTTCTCCTGTCACTGGACATCTCTGGTGGGATCCTGTGCCTGGGAAGAATGAAGCTCACACTCTCATGCTGTGACCTTGACTCATGATTGAATTTCTTATCTGTCACTGAGAATCAGAAGCAGCTTAGGGGAGACCTCATGTCTTTGGACAGCTCTACATCCTTGTAGCTTTTTTTTTTTTTTTCCAAAGCTGATTAAAAGGACAGTTTCAATAATTAATACATTGTACATTGTTATCTTCTTAGTGGTTATCCACAGTACAAAAAGCAGACAGGATATCCTGTCCAAACACTATTAGTACAAATCTTTCTTCTCATTGAATTAAGTGAAAGTAGCTGTATATCTATCCTAACTATTCTGTATATACAAA